ACTTTTCAAGCATATTACAATCTGATTAAGTGAACGAATAATAAAAGTAAATGTTTGTACATAAGGAGAAAAGTATACCGAAAACGTATACAATGTTAATTTTTGGAAATTGAACTAAATTAACAATTTATTTTTGCTTTTCTAATAACTGGTCTTGGGTGTAAAAAAGCCAGGGCAAAAAATCCATTGAATATTTTGTGAAATTCACTTGTTTTCTATTTAAACTAACCTTCTTATTTTACAAAATTTCTCGTGTTTATTTAATAAAATAAATTAAACACGACGAAAAAGTAGTTCAAAGTGCATTAAAAAAATTAACAATGAATAAACGGTTGCAACGAAATATGTTATCTGTGGTGAAACTTAAAGAGAACTTCTAAAAAAGGTACGAAAAATTGGCAGTGCAAATCGAAAACAGGTAAACTTAATATAATTTTCAATTTTGCTTGCTAAAAACTCTTTCATATTTATTAAAATATTTTTCAAATAAGACTATTTGTCATATAAATAAAGGAAAACTATAAAAATACCTAAATTGATAACGTGTTTTGCTAAAATCGTAGGGTGGCTTTTTCACCCCACCAGGTGGTGCAAAAAAGCCACTTGCAGTGCTTTCGTAAAACTCTTATAACTTAGTCCTTTCATGAGATAAAAAATATTTCCGTCAAGAATTTCAAACTTAATAACTAAACTTTCAATAACAATTGGAAATTTGAGAAAAAAATTTTAAGTACAGATTTTACAGCATCAAACGTAAAAATGTGGCTTTTTTACCCCACTCTACCCTACCAATTCATCTGCTAGAAAAATTAATTAACATAAAACTCAAAGCCATAATTCTTACTTGGAATAAATTCCACTAAACATAATTACATTTAAACTTATTTAATATAAAGGACCCCATAGGATTTGCATTAGTTCTAGATCCCATTCAATTTTTCTGTTTAAAGTTTTGTAGTTCTTTAAACAAGAACTTCAAAAACCTTCAAAATTTAATGTAAATCCTGTTTGCTTTTTTACTTATCATAATTCATTCAAATTTCTATTTATTTCAAAAGAAATCTGCGATCATGATAATTCGTTTACGACAAAGAAATTTATAGATTATTTGATCTTAATCTTTTTTAGTTCAATAAAGATTCTCTTTAATTATATAAAAAACTTTGTTTTATTCTAAAAAAATTATTTTTATTTAAAATTTAATAATACTTTCAACCCTGATAAATTACCAATGCCCGCTAAGTAGGTATTTGTTCAGATTAGAAAAATCCACATAATAAAGACAAAAAATATTTAGATTTAGTAGGACTCCCAGTGGGCAAAAAACCATCATTGTTTTAAAAACGTTTTTAGAACGTTTCATGTCTGCCAAATAATGTTCCAAAAACGTGCCATCCCAGTGGGCACAAAGACAAAAAACGTTCTTTAAACGTCTGTAGAAAGTTTAATGTCTGACAATTTACGTTCAAAGAACATCCGAATGTTCCGAAACATTTTTGGAACAGTCGGACGTTCTTAAAACATAAATTGGCAGACATTAAACGTTCTACAGACGTTTAAAGAACGTTTTTCGTCTTTGTGCCCACTGGGATTGCTTTTAAAACGTTTTAGAAAAATATAACGTTTTTGGGACGTTATTTAGCAGACATGAAACGTTCTAAAAACGTTTTTGGAACGTTTTTAAAACAATGATGGTTTTTTGCCCACTGGGCTGTGATTCTATTAATAGTCCGAATTAGAATTATTAATTTTTATGAAACAATAACAAACTGGGGGGATTTTAAACAAAGTTGTTTGAAAATAAGGTTTTTTTGGACAGTTTCTTGATTAACAAAAAGTAAAAATTAATATTTTTACAGAATTCTAGTTCCGACGATACCCATATTTGTGACAAAGATGTGTTAAAAATCTTGTAAGAATCGATCCAGTTGTTTCCGAGAAAACCATTACATAGAAAAAAAGTGTTTTCGAGAAAAACGCGTTTGCTTTTGTTGTTGAAAAAATCATACTTACAGCGTAGATGTATACGCTTAAGTAACATCGTAAAAAATATATATATATATATATATATATATATATCCGGATCTTTCTATATAGAATTTTTAAACAACTTTTTTGAGACGTTTCAGTTAACTGCCATGAGGCAGTAAAGTTTTCATGCAATGAACACAAGAATTTCGACTCCAACTTTGCAGCATTTTTTTTTTCATTTTATATATAATAAAACAATGTATTCATATAACTACACGGAAATAAAATAAGTAATAAATTTTATAAAAGTATTTACCAATTTGGGAAGAAAATGCTAGAAAATGAAATTAACTATAATAATTTGAATGTTCTTTCATTCATTCACTTTTTCTGTCCCTCACACTCTGAAGTTGTCTTACAAAATTTTTTATTTTCAAATATAAATTTTTTAAATAATTTCATAATCAAAATTTTAAAAATTCACTTATTAAATAAAAAATTAATTATTACTGTTCATATTTTAAAAAATTAATAAATTCTTCGAAACAATACAACTATTTTCATAAATAGTCAAATTCTTCTCAAGAATTCAATTATTTTCAATTCAATTTTAATTAAATTCTTCTTCATAAAATTCAATTGCATTCAAAATTTTCAATTAAAATTATTAAAGAAACTCCATTAGTTTAAAAAAAAAATTCAAAGAAATTCTTCAAAAGAATTTAATTAGGATTTTTAAAAATTTTAATAAAATTCTTCGCGAGAATTCAGTTATTTTCCTAAATAATAAAATTCTTTAAAGAAATTCTTTATTATCAAATTTTTTGATAAAATTCTTTGCAAGAATTCGATGATTTTCAATACATTAATTTTAAAATTGAAAATATTTTAAAAGAAAAATTATAAAAAAGTTAAGAAACAAAAAAGCAAACATGTAATGTAATATGTCAAATAGAAATTATCAGAATTTTTTTCACTTCTTTTCATTAAAAGATTAAAATTTTTTTAAATATTATGTTTCGTCAAATTGAAATTATGCAGATTTTTGTTCTTTACTTCTAAACAAAATTAGAAAATTGTTAAACAACTGTGATTAAGAGATAGAAAATTTATTTATTTTGCATTATTTTTCTTTATGAATCACAATTTTTTTAACAAAATTAATATTTTGTTTTAGAAAAAGAAGAAAAATATTTGCACAATTCCTATTTTTAATCTTATCTTTGGAAGAGGATTTTCCACAGGAATTAAGACATTCAAAAATTTCAAATTTAAACCTTTTTTAAATTAAACAACTTATAAAAGTATTTTGTTATAAAATATGAAGATATCGATTGCTCCGAGTCTTCGACTCTGAGTGATCGATTTCTTCATGTTTTCTAATAATTAAAGATGACCGAGAGATAAAATCATTATTTTATATCATAAGAATATTGTTACTGTAACTTCATCAAAATTATTTTTATCATTTTAATTCAATTATTATTTTCTAGAATTTTAGATTATTTTATATGCAAATAATTGAATTCCTTAAAAAATTTCATTATTTATGAAAATAATTGAATTCCTGTGAAATTTTGATTATTTATAAAAATATTTAAATGTTTGCATACAATTTTATTTTTATTTCTTTAAATAATTGAATTCTTTTTGGGAAATTTAATTAAAATAGTACATATTGAAAATCATTGAAATTAAAAAAAAATTTGAAAATAATTGAAATTAGGACAAGAATTTTTTATTAAAATAACTTTGGAGAAGAATTTTGTTATTTATAAAGATAATTGGGATTTTTACGAAATTTTTTTTTCAAATTTTGAACATAGTTGAATTTTATAAGAAGAATTTTATTTTTTGTTGTTGAAAATAATTGAATTTCTGCATTTATTTTTAATTTCTCCAAAATTGAATTATTTTAGTATTTTCAACAAAAATTTAAATTAGAAAATTTTTAAATTCTATTATTTTTAATATTGCTAATTTTATTTAAAAAAAGGAAGGAAGAAGTTAGTTAGAAGTCAGAATTTTTGCTAGTTTTTATATAAAAAGAAATACTGAACTTGAAATAAATTATATGAAATTTAGTATAGTTGAAATTGAAAGTGGATGCAACTGGAAATATCACATTAGTTTATCATGCAAAAATAAATAAATCACTTTTTCTTTAAACCCTGGAGTGTGAGGGTATGTCTATGGAAGTACATACAAAAAAATGTGAAAAAAGTACAAAAAACAATCAGATTTACATCACGCATTAATTATTTGTGGTATTTTCGACGCTGAATCCGAAATTGTGGTCAAATTTTGAAAATTCAAAAACCAATATAGCTTATATATTATATTATTATATATATAATATAGATTATATTTTAAAGGCTACTTTATTATATTATTTTTATTATTATCGAATTTGAATTCATTTAAGAATAATTATCACAATATTGGATTTAAATTTTAAGAAAAGGAGCGATAATATTAATTGAAATTTGTTTCGTTTTCAAGACGAATGCAAAGTTATTCATTAAAAAGGTATAAATAATAATTAATTAATGCCCACCTAACCGAGACGGTAATGGTACTTGAGTTTTATTTGATAATAATAATAATAATAATAAGATGATGATGATGATTCTCGAAAATATTCTCATTACTGTACTAGTAGAATGTCTCTGAAAAAAGAAATAACAAATATTGGGACAGAAAAGTGAATCTGCTCGTTAAAGTGACATCTTTCCGGCGGCAATAATATATCGTTAAATGTGTTTGTAATAATCGAGTTTACAGTTTCGAAACTTTCACTTTCATTGGAAGTGTGACCCCAAGTTTTTCTGACAAGCTAAACATTCCAGCAATGCGATCCAAGACTTTCTTGTAGCCGAGCATCTTCAGCTCATGAGATCCTTGACATGACGTAACGAAATGTTACGTCTCGAATACGTTCTCCAACTATCCCTTCTCTCGAGGTTACCCATCCTCTCGAAGAGAAAGGCAGCGGATGGTGGTGTACCATCTTTTCGACTCTTCTTCGGCAACCTATTCTTCGCTAGGTTCACAGTCGCATCCCCGAGTTTCATTGAGTTTGTTCTTAAGGAAAATAGAGAGTCCTAACCAAGTGTCTGTCCGTTCTTCAGTCCTCGAGTGCAACCATGCCGTCGTCCAGGAGCTTCTTCTTCGTCCTTGCATTTGGTTCGTACCCGAAAAGTGCAAAATCGCGGTTCATTTTTAAATTAGCAGCTCTTCATTTCAAAAAAATCATATTTCAAATTGCCAAAAATTCATATTGTCATACTCCAAAATACCGAGTGTCTCTTTTGGAATGAAAATTTAACCCTCATTAGTGCCCCAATAAGTTTTAGAAAAATCAACAAGATTAGTGCATTTGAACATACGGTTCACATGATTACTGCTTATAAAAACTCCCATTTTTGAATAATTTAAAGCTATTAGAATAGTTTAAAAATAGTTTATTGAAAAATATTCATGTTTTAAAAGTTGATGTCTTCAATAATGTGTGATAAATATTGAATACAAAGTTTTGAAAGTTTGTGTTTCTTATGGGCCTTGAGAGGTCGACAACGTAAAAGCTAAAAGGAAAGGAAAGTAGATAATAGACATTGGAGATCAGAGTGACATTAAAGGTCGCAGGTCATACTGAACGGAGGTGCAAGGAAGCTGATCGCACTTTTCTCCTAATGCGATGGAATTTCTTCAATGACAGAGAAGGGAGATGCAATCATACTAAACTATTCGGATCACTGTCAACTTTTACTTTTTTCTTCTCTCTAATAACAACGTTGTGTAACAGTTTTTTTTCTTAAATAACTCTCCCAATTAGAGAAGAAACGTTTACATAGTCTCTAAAAACTTGTTTAATTGTTATTGCACTAAAATATATTTGCATTTGAAATCAATTAATTTCTCTCTTAATATTTTCAAAAGGTAAAAAGTCATCAACTCATTAAAATCAGCAACAATTTTAACCAACTTTTGATGAAATTTAAAAATCCCATTTAGTAATTTTAAATTTTTCATTGCTCAAGTTTTAATAAAAAATGACTAAAAAGTTTGTAAAAATGCTGATAAATTCAGATTTAAATTCAACATTTGTTTAAATTGCACCTTTATTTTTTATTTAAAAGTCACAGTGTAAAATAATTACGTAGTTAAAAAACAATCTTTCTTAATTTGATTTAGAAAATGATAATTAATATTTGTCTGTCAGACACTTCTAACAAGTATTACAAGTTTCATCGTGAGACCGACCGTCAACGTTTCGTGAGAAAGAAATTCAAGCGTAGCATCCTGCACACGATTGAGTTCAGATACTGGATTATGCAATTTTCTTTTCTTTTTTGTTCCCTGCGTCTCACGCTTAATTTAGTGCCGGAAAAAATCGATTGACGAATATTTAATAATAGTTTTACATAAAAATCAAACATTTCAGTTCCTGTTCTTTTTCCAAATCATTTCATAAATACTGAAAGTAGGATATGGGATAGAAATATATGTATCTAGAACTTTTCATTTTTTTGGTATTTTATTGTCTTCAGAAATGATCAAATGAAAAAACTTGACATTACTCATTTTTACACATTGTTACGCTGTATTAGTAATGTAACGGTGTCAATTATACATTAAATTATTGTTTAGCTTTATATTCTCATTATGGAGAGCGCAAAGTTTAACGATTTTTCTGTATTTTTTTATAATGTATAAGAAGAGGAGATCACAATGAGTAAAAAGTATTTTGAAGCCAAATTTAACATGTACTACTCAAATATGTGGCTTTTTTGTATGAGTTACGTGTAGTTATTCAAAAATCTTCGTTAAAAAGTTACACCGGCTTAACTGCTGAATTTTCAAAATTTGAGAAAAGATGTCACCCAAGTTCGAAGAAACATAATTTTTATCCTACTTGAGGCACATCATTGTCTCACCGTTTCCTATATATTTAAAAAAAATGATTTAACCCATGGCACATTTAAAAAGCACAATAATTTGTTCAACAACGGTATTGCAAATTTTTTTTTAATAATTTTTGAAGTATCAAAATAAGCGATATAGCTTAAAGTGTAAAAGTTCTAGAGATATGCCTATATGTGATTTTGTTGATAGAAACTTGCATAAACAATGTATAGAGGGAGTAGAAATGTTATTTTATAAAAATATATGATTTATAAATGATGCTACTCAAGTATCCTTGGATGCAATCTATAATATCGTGACTAGGTGTGCTGGAAAATGATTTTTCATTTTTACTGTCACCAACAGTCGATGAACACTGATTCATTTAGAAGTTTTATTTATTCAAGCACACAACTTTTGCAATTAATTAAGCATCGAAGTTTCAACAGGTTTTCAATTTCAATTTCAAGTAGAATGAAAACTGAGTAATTGGAAATGAAAAAAAGTTGAGTGAATTCGAAAATAGTGTTTTTCTCCACGACTTAGACACAGTTACATTGTATAATTGAAGAGGTGGTTGTTTTTCATTTACAAACCAGTCCATCTTGTAGAATGCCTTTTGCGAATGCCCTTTCATTTTTCGATTCAGTCACCGCAGCTTATACGAGATGATTACAGAGGCCCATTTGGAAGTAAACACTTTTTGTTGGAATAGCTATATCCTTGTACCTCTCACTTTCAAAATATTACTATTGACATATTAAACATTCCAAATTTACAAAATAAACTTGGATTCTTATTTTTGCTGAAGTGCTGAAATATCGACTTGCTTATTATTTCAATTAAGGGTTCACACCACTTTACTTTAATGTTTTTTAGAATCTCTACAGATTTTATTGATCTAACCTTTTCAAGTTCAATAAAGACACTCTTTAACTATTTATATATATAATAAACTTTGTATTATTAAAAAAAATTGCTTGTTTAATTAAAATTTAACAATACTTTTAGCCCTACTTAAAATACCCTAATAGCAAAGGATATTCAAGGATATCCTACCGACGTCCTAGTCACATCCGGAAATTTAGATATCCCTAGAATGTCCTTAACCCTTTAATGGCCAGTGGTACACATACGTACCACCCACTTCAAAAAATCATAACTTTCTTAAAACCTAATGGATCAACTCCGCTAAGGTCTCATTTTGAAGGGGTTAGCGAGAGTAGCAAATACATATGAATGCCATTTTCCAAAAAACTACCCTTTATGAAATACACCCCTTCAAAAAACGCAAAAAATGACAAAAATTTAAAAAAAAGATATAAATGGGAGCGTTTACAAATGATGTCACGCTTTTGGGGGTAGGGGGGGGGGGAGTCTTACTAAACGTGACACAATGTATTTTTCTCATGTGAAATTGCAAAAATTGCGTGACAGGGGGGGTTGAAAATCTCCAAAAATTGCGTGACATCATTTGTGAACGCTCCCAATTCAAGAAAAAATTTTTTTTTGGCTTTCAAAGTAACATATGTTTTAAAATATTGTAAACTTTGTAAAAAAATTAATAACAAAATTTTACCTCAGGGTAAAAAAATTAATAAAAACTACCCCAAAAAACGAAACAATTAAAATATCTACCAAATTCGCCTAAAATTTGTTACTTGGGGGTTTTCGGGGTCGCTGTTTACGAATCCGATGTTAGTTTTTAAAAATTCAAAATGGTGGATCCAATATGGCGGACGATAAATTGAAAATTCATTAGATTCGCCTAAAAATTGTTACTCGGGGGTTTTCGGGGTCGCTGATTACGAATCCGATGTCAATTTTTAAAAATTCAAAATGGCGGATCTAACATGGACGATAAATTTTAAAATCTACCAAATTCGCCTAAAATTTGTTACTCGGGGGTTTTCGGGGTCGCTTATTACGAATCCAATGTCAGTTTTGAAAAATTAAAAATGACAAATCCAATATCGTGGACAAAAAAATAAAAAAAATTTATCAGATTCGCCTGAAACTTGTTATGCAATAGGGGTAGTTTCGAGGGGGGTGCTTATTAATATTATCCATAACTGTGTCACTTAGAAACATTTTTTTTATAATTTAGAAGCATTTAGAAGCTGTAGATTTTTTTTATCATTCACAAAAACTTTTATCAACAAGGGCCCAGTGGGCAAAAAACCATCATTGTTTTAAAAACGTTCCAAAAACGTTTTTAGAACGTTTCATGTCTGCCAAATAATGTTCCAAAAACGTTCCATTGCTTTTAAAACGTTTTTGAAACATATAACGTTTTTGGGACGTTATTTGTCAGTCATGAAACGTTCTAAAAACGTTTTTGGAACGTTTTTAAAACAATGATGGTTTTTTGCCCACTGGGGGGTGGTTATTTGACCTTAGGGTATTTTCGAAACGTATAGAATCAATGAAAAATTTTTTTTTAATTATTCAAAACTATTGACAGTATGTAAGAATAATTATGAAATAGGGGTGTGTTCCAAGGAGGGTGTTTAACATTATTATCCATATCTGTGTCACTTAGAAACATTTTTTTATAATTTAGATGCATTTAGAATCTATAGATTTTTTTTAAATATTCACAAAAAGTATTATCGTCAAGGGGTGGCTATTTGACGTTGAGGGTGGCGTTCAAATGATTATTTATAATTACTTTTCATTTTTGAACAACCAGAGAATATTTATAAATAATTAAAATGCAGACAGGGGTTAAAAAATATTTATAATTTATCACTTAGATTAATTATCAATTTTTTTGTGTAGTAATATACGCTGGGGTGGAACATGTTAAAAAAAATTTTTTCATATTGAATAATAGAATAATCGAATTTACTAAACATTATACATTTATAATAACGGTAAAAAAAACTCGGCCATTAAAGGGTTAAGATATCACAGGACATCCCTCGGGTATCCTACGGATATAATAGTTTCCGGATATCCTTAGAATATCCTGAATATCCAGATGCTGGTAGGGTACCGATGACAGCTGCGTAGATGTTTTTCTGGATTAGAAAAATCAGAATTGTAAAAACCAAAAAGATTTGGGTTCAGATGTACTGCACTTATCATTAATTGAACTAGAATTATTAATTTTTATACAAAAATAACAAAATACCCAAATATGTGACGAAGATGTGGTAAAAATTTCGTAAGAATCGGTTTAGTAGTTTCTGAGAAAAATATTCCAAGGATTAACAAACTGGTTTCGAGAAAAACACGTTTAAAGTTTCTGTTGGACATTAACAGTTTACTGCCCAAAGTAAAAACCTAGTAACCGTATTTTCCGTAAGATCGTGATTTGTTTATAACCTAAGATGAACTTCGACCTTACAAAAAATGCGGTCACTAGGTTTTTACTTTAGACAGAAACAGTGCCCATGTACGCGCTCAAATAATTTCGAAAAACCATATTTAAAGTGATTCGATATTTCTTAAATTATCACACAACATTTTTTAGATGTTTTACTTTCGAAATCCGTCAATTTGAAAAATCATTTTTTTGAAATTGAAATTGAAATTGACAAAGTAGTGTAAACCCTTAATTTAATTTAAAATACACAATAAATAACTTACATTATTCTGTTACTATTGAAATGATATACTGAGAAAACATTATACCTAATTCAAATGTAGAAATAATTATAGATATATAATATAATTTAAAAATAACTATAATTCATGTTTGAATGAAATATATTATTCTTTTAGATGAAGCAAAAAATATGGCTTATTATTGTATTGCTATCATATTCTAAGTTTGATTTAAATAAAGTATAATTCAATGAAATAAATGTTTTTCTCAGTGTAAGTTACTAATTTAAAAACCGTATGAAAAATAATTCTCTTATCTCGATTATTAAGTATTAATTTGAGTATACTTATTTGTAAGTATAAGCTTTTGATGGCCCACCTTGGAAAGAATTTAATATAAAAAGCCGCCATGCATTTTAAATTGTCACTTAATTTTAACGTTAATAGAGTTTAAATATATGTTATTAATTATATTTATGATAAACATAATCATACAAAAGTGGTTGTGTAATGACTGAAGAGAGTGAAAAAAAATTAATTATACATATAAGTCAGTGTGTGACCACAAACCTGAAAGGTTTAAGAATACACACTATTTATATATATAAATTATAATCTTAGACTCTCGTCACTTTCTCTCATTATGTTTATTATTTGAAATGCTTAACGCAGCTGGAGTTCTATGGAGTTGCGTTCTCTGCCTTCAACGACCCCCTCCGAGATATTCGCAACAATATATGCCGGACACTTCCTTCACTTGTCAAAATAAGATCCTAGGCAGCTATTACGCCGACCCGGAGACCGACTGTCAACTATTCCACGTTTGTGTGTCCGTTGCAGGAACCGTCCAGGATTATCGGTAAGATCTTATGCTCACACATAATGTATACATATACGCATGCCTCTTTAACAAAAGAAGAATGCACGTATTAGCAGGTGGCGTTTCACAGAATTAAGCGTCGCGCTGCATTGTTTCTCGAGAAATGTACTTTGACTTATTTTTACTACTTTTCCGGATTCGTATTATCAGCAGTTATCAGAATTGTTCAAATACGTCATATTTTTTATATTTCTTTCAAGTCGAATATATTTTCACTTACATATATCTTAAAGTTTCTGAAATTAAAATTTAATAAAAATTGCAACTCCAATGATATTAAAAAGATCGACTGTAGCTCCGCATTTCTTAAGTATATCATCTAGCTCATTTCTTACTTCGATATTTTTCTATATATTCGACCTTTTCTCGCAATGTCTTTTTTAAGAAAGGATTCATAGACCGTTAACATTTTTCAGAAATCAACTTAATCCCTTGACTGTCGATGTGATTTTCACTGATTTAAGCCAAATATGTGTTCAAAAAATTTTTAATGGATTTTTATGACACTTTGTTTCCTAAGGAAATATGATTTATTAAATCAAATTTTATTAATTTTAAAAAATTTAATATATTGTAAAATGTAAATTCATTAGCTAATATTAAGGTGTTTAACTACATTTAATTTATGAAAAATGATTGAATCTGACATTTAAAACTTTTAAAACTGCTGTCAAATTCGTAATCAATGACTCTGAAAACCCCCGAGTAATCACTTTCATATAAAAGACATGACATTGAATAGAATTTTAAGTGAATTTACATGTTCGCGTAATAATCTACTTTAACGATCTATAAATAGAAAGAGTATTAAGAATTATTATTTCTCTCATTGAACCACCGTCTCTTGCATCCAATATATAGAACCATTTTTATGTGGGTAACAGAATTAATTAATTACAGATTCCTGTGTCCTAACGGCACAGCTTTCGATCAAGAGAGCCAAACCTGTGCTGACTGGTATGACGTGGATTGCGAAGCAGCAACGCTCTATTACGCCAGCGACAACTTTGACCTTTACAGACTGGGTTCAGGTTTAGAATCCCTTCACTTTGATAGTATTCGTAGTGATGCGGAACCTCAGGACCATCTTCAGCGCAGTGAAACTAGCGACGCAGTCCGGTCTTCTGCCAATGCCCTCAACAGAGTAGCCTCAACCAGTTTTAAAGACAGAGGCAGCAAAGATATCCTCCACGGAAGCAGCAGCAGCAATTACTTCAATAACAGAAACAATGCCAAAGATGACGACTACGACGACAAGGTCATTCCTGAATCCAGAAAGAAGTCTGGAATAAGAAAAGTTAGCAGAAAGCAGCAATTAAGCGCCAATGACAATACACCAACAACGACATCAGCCACTGCTCATTCCAGCAAGAGCTACAACTTCTACACTGGAAACAATTATAACCATCAAAGAGCGTTTGATTCTTCAACAACGACACCGCGAATAGCTTCAACACAGGATTTTAAAAATACTCAGAAGGCGGTTCAGCAAACGACTTATCGACCAACATACACGTACTCTACTTATACAACTACAACCTATAGACCGAGTACCAACTATCCAGAAGGTTTCACTGGATTTCCAATTATTACCAGCACAACTGCCAAGACAACGACTACTAGTAACAACAATAATAAAAATAACTTCAGCAGTGGCTTCGGAAATGGCAATTCCTTCAGTTCTTCTAGTGGAACAACTTCAAGGCCTTCCACCTACAAGAAAGTCTACTATGACCCGTCTACCCTGCCTGAGACTTTCTCGCCATCTACTACCAGTCAGCCAAGCACAAACTATCAATCAAGCGATTTCAACACCTTCAACAACAACTTCCAAAGGAACTACAACAACATTCAACGCACTAGCAGCACTTCAAACTTTGCTTCCTCTACAAGTTCTCCAAATTTCTTTGACAGCTTTAACAATCAATTTAATAGTAGATCAAATTCTCCTTCAACAAGACAAGAATATACTGAGACGACTGCCAAGATAATTTCCAATAATTTCTCAAATAACGGCAACGCACCAACGACCTACAGCCCAATAACGAAAAAAAATGATCACTTAAGAGAACGGTTTAATGCCCAATCGAAGAATGAGGGTCAGTACAATGATGGTCAATACAAGAAGAGCGATGATAACAAGTATTCTCAAAATAATGGACAGTATTATGAGAAATCGAGCCAAAGTAAGTCGACCAACTACTATGATACAACGAAACCTCCCAAGAAAGTTACACAGCATAACAGCTACGATTCCGGAAACAGCGGAAAGTATTATGAAACCACCACAACTGGCAACTACAATTTCGGCAGATCTGGTGCAATTGGATTCAGTCCTTCCAGCATTAATCACTTAGCCGAGTCTCCTAAAACCACAACTCCAGTGCCAAGGTAAGAAGGAATTTTTTATTCTAAACTCCACTCACTTTCGTCTAAAAATCTTTTCATGTTTGAAAAATACTTTCAGAAAAACTGGGGCACCTACGACCTACAATCCCAACAGTTTTAATACCAACAATCAAAGGACGGCTCAGTCTCAAACGAATTCTCGAGGAACAACTTATGTCAGTCATTCCGCAAGACCGTTTTCGACAACTCAAAGCTTTACCGAAAGTACTACATTGAAACCTGCGAAAACCGGAAAGAAGAACGATTATGACTACGCATACTACGATAATGCGGGAGCTTTGGAGTACGATGGAATTGAACTTGAACATGTGACAGGAAACAAAGAATCTTCGAAAATTTCAAGGTCTTGAACATCAGTAGACACAACATTTACTATAAGCCAAAACAGTCATAATTTCATTTTGTCTCAACCATAATCACAATGAATTCAAAATAGTCTGCTTAACTAATCAGAGTTAAAGCATTTCATTGGAAAATATAAAATTTATAGTTCATCTTCGGAAAGTTAATATATAGCTAAAATTTTATATTTTCAAAGGATCAAACGAAATTCATGAGACAAATTAAAATTCCTAATTCTCTTTTAAAAAAAGAAATTATTTTATTCTTATTCTCTTTAATTCGCGACTTTAAATATTTGTACGAGACATATTATGTGTTTTATTAATTACCAGGCCAGTTACTATATTCTCATAAAAACCTTCTTATGATATTTATGTGCGGATGTTCCACTATGAATATTGTAAATTTGTGAACGCATTGTGAATATGTCAAACTGAAATTTTGTTTTCACTATCCTTTTTTTATTCATTCAAAGTGTCTCTTAACATTATGATAAGATAAAAATTAATTTTCAATTAGTGTAAAGAGAAACTTTAGAGAAATCCTGCAAAAGGAATTTTTTAACCTTTTTAAAAATTCATCAAAAATTCATATGCCATCTTGTTAATTGATTTTCTAGTGACGACAGGATTTCAAATCCCAACAATTATTTATGAATTTACTATATATTGTAAAGTTCTTTTTTATTTCTTTGTTATTATAGATAGTAAGGTGCATGGTGGTAGAGCCCATGTCATTGAAACAATTTTTTTAGAAAGAATTTGACTGTACCAAGAAATATAATTTCTTGCGATATTTTTTAATATGATAAAAATGTACAGAAAAATATGTATTTTTAACTACGAAAAGTAAAAAAATGTTCTTTTAAGAAAAATGTGTTTTTATTTAAAGTAAAATCGGTGGCAGGGTGAGTGCACCAACAGGGCTCGAACCAGTGAAAGTATTTAAAAATACGGACTTTACGGACCAATTGCCGACAAAAATATAACCAGTCCGAGTCTAATAAATGAACATTTTAATTAAAACTATAAATTCAATTTTTCATAACTATAAAACATGAAGATATTGATAACTCCGAGTCTTCAACTCGGAGTGACCAATTTCTTCATGTTTTACAATAATTAAAGATGACCCAGTGATAAAATCATTATCAAATTCAATTATTACTTTCAAGAATTTTTAACTAAAATTCTTCTTAAAATCGATTATTTTTAATAATTTTCGAAAAAGTTCTTTGACAATTTTCAAATCCATTTGTTTACAATATTCAATTTTACGAAATTTCAATTATTCATAAATTCTTCAATTAAATATATATATATTAGAAAATAAAAACTTTAAATAATATAAATAAAATTGGCAATTAAAATTTCTCAAAAAAAATTAATTCCACAGAATTGTTAGTTAAAAGTATGAAAAATTCAAATTTTCAAAGATTCTAATCTGAAACCTTTTCAAAATTCAAATATTTCAAAAAATTCACTCTATAATAATGCTTTTGAATCAACACTGCGAAACGTCAAACATGGTGTTTTGAATGAACACACCTCCTGACTGTGATTGTCCTTTTGTGGTCGTTTTTATTTTAATAATTTAATATCAAAGGACGTTAAAGATTACTAATAATAATGCTTTTAATATTCAATTATAATCTAAAATTTAAACTAAAATTAATTTTTAAATAATTTTTTATTAGAAAATTCTACGAGAATTCAATTATTTAAATACAAAAAAAACAATTCATTGAATAATTGCATGTTTCTTAAAATTGAATTCTCAAAAAGAATTGTATCAATAAATTTTTAAATAATTGAATTCTTTTGACAAATTTTAATAAAATTCTTATGAATAATTACATATTTTCGAGGAATTCGATTAAAATTGTATTAAAAATAATTGAAATTCTGCAATGAGTTTTATTATTTATGAAAATAATTGAATGATTGCGAAGAAATTTATAAAAAAATTTGTTAATAATTAAATTCCTGTGAAATTTTTATTATTTTTTAAAAATAATTAAAGGTTTGTGTAGAATTTTATTAAATTTTTTTTTAAATAATTGAATTCTTTTGGAAAATTTTATTAGAATAGTAGATACCTATTAAAAATCATTGAATTGAGGAAAACTTTTGAAAATAATTGAATTTCGGAGAAGAATTATTTAATTATTTCTAAAGATAATTGAAATTTTGACGAGAATTTTAAAAAAAATTTTGAACATAATTGAATTTTTGCGAAGATCTTTATTACTTACTTGAAAATAATTGAATTTCTGCAATCATTTGTAATTTCTCTAAAATTCCCCAAATTATATCGTACAATTTACGGACTTTACGCACCTTTTTTAAACAATTTACGGATTTTACGGACCTTTTTTTTAAAAAAAAGACTTTTACGGACTTCAAGCAAAGTTACGGACTTTTACGGACCTATAGTTCGAGCCCTGCACCAATGAAAAAATTATTTATTATTTTTCACGAGATGTAACAAATTACAATTTTTGGTTTTTAAACAGTATATGTTTTCGGTTCATAATTTTTTTTAAATCTTGTATATAAACATCAGATTCAAAATGCAAATTATTTCAAGAATAATTTTTCACTGAATTAATTATTTTTTATTAAAAACTGTAAATGCATAAGGGACAAAATAAGTGAAACCGGCTACTTGAAAAATTTTTGTCTCCAATTTTTAAGTTATCTATGATTTTTGGTAGATATATGAGTACACTTTTTCCCCTACAATATTTTTCAAAAAAAAATTTTATTTTTGAAGTAATCAAGTGTTAAAATTTTGGGTCATTTTATTATTACTTATTTGAAACAAATAAAGATATAATTAAGTGAATTTTTTTTTAAATTAAAGCTTACAGTCTATACTTTAAGGATTTAATAAAGCGATTGCTAAAAAATGAAAATTTATAATGTTATTAACAATTCTTTTAAACAATTTCAAATTGAAGAATGTTCTCAATATTTTTGAAAGATTAAATTACGATGTATTGATGCGCAAAACTCCAAGGATTAATTTAAAAAAAAAGAAAAATCAGTAACCTTCAATATTATAGAAATTGTGTAGATTTTTCTGCCAAAATGCAGGCGAAAATCGACTCGAGTTCCTGGAAAAAGATAAAATTGCAAACGAATAAATAAGATCGTCTTTTGTTTTGTTAAAAACTTCACGCTTTCAAGCGGATTTTTAAAATTAAAAGTCGATTTTCGCCTGCATTTTGGCAGAAAAATCTACATAATTTCAATAATATTGGAGGTTACTGATTTTTCTTTTTTTTTAATTAATCCTTGGAGTTTTGCGCATCAATATATCGTAATTTAAAATTGGAGACAAAAATTTTTCAAGTGGCCGGTTTCACTTATTTTGGCCCATAACAAAAACTTCTGCCAAGTTGTGTTCATTTGATGAACACTTTGCTTCCTCATACAGATAATAATAATAGAAGTACATAAATAACTTTTCATAAATATTATAAAAATTGATTAAATCTTGGTTCAACAAATATATTTTTATATACTCTATAAGATGGTTTAAATTGTTTAATATTTACACAAAAGTTGAGAAAGTGATACTTTCCACAATTTTTGATTTTTAAAATACCAATAATTTCGTCATTTCTGATCAAGTAAATTAATAAAACCTTATGAAATATAAAGTACCTGTGATTAACTTTTAGTTCTTATCACTTTCTTCCTTTTTTCATCACAAATCTTAAAAAATAAGCCATTAAAACTGGCACTTTGCTTATTTTCACAATTTTAAAATGTAAATAACTTCCGCCCAAAAAAATGAAAAATTACGAAAATTGGACAATAATTAATTGATTACTAGATACACTCACTGGAAAAAGATTTTCTTTGGTCCCAAAGCTTTTTTAAAACTGAAGTTGGTTCAAAATAATTAAACAAGAAGAGCAAACTTCGTCTTTTAAAAAACATATATATTAACCTGATAGAAATAGTGAAAAGTTTAAAATTAATTATTTCGAAAAATAGTTTCTGGACCAAAGAAAATATTTTTCCAGTGAGTGTATCTAGTGATCAATTAATTATTGCATAATTTTCGTTATTTGCTAGGTGAAATTTAATATAATTTTTTATTTAATATTTCTTATTAATAATTGTTTCTATCAATTTATATGAATAAAATAATTCATTCTTAATAAATTCTAATATTTTTTTACATTTTTATAGTAAATTATGTGTCTTCTTTAATATTTTCTAATAGATGAAAACGTGACAGTTTTTACGACTTCATATACTTTAGATGTTTATTTTACAATAAATATAAAAAATATTTATAAAATTCTTTTTGTTCGGTGTGATCCTATAATATCTTTAAAATCATTCCTGCAAAATATAATAATTTTTTTAAATTAGTCGGCAACGACTTTAGTCGAAATATAATGGAATGACTATATCTTTAATACCTGACGCAATATTATTGAAAGAAAAAATTTAAAAAATTCGTTCATTTGAGTGCTCAGAATTTTAGGGACTTGAAACCGAAACCGAAAAAAAAATTATCTGAAACAGAAAACCGTAAACCAAAACCCGTATTATAAAAATTTAAAACCCTTTATTTCAAAACCTAAATTTCGTATTTTCGGTTTTTAATATAAAAGTAAAACTGAGTATAGTATGTCTAATATTGTAAACAATAAGTAGAGGAACCAAATTTGCAGATTACAAATAATTAATTAAAAAAAATTTATTCAAAATAAATTAGAAAAAAATTTTCTTAAATTAATTATTTGTGGCCAGCCTGTAAAAATTCACTAGTATATCAATTTTTAGCTAATTATGTCAAATAATGTAAAAGTTAGGGGGGAAAAACTGTTTTTTCAAAAAATGTTTAGTTTTTCCTTGACAACGCTATGGTCATCTTATAAAATATAAAACAAATTTATAAATAAATTATGAGTAAATAAACATATTTCATTCTTTCTAAATAATTTAAATGCACACAAATATTTTCATTCATAAATATTGTCCGGGGAAAGCAACCAGAAACCGAAACCTTTAACCCAAATTTTTAAGAAACCGTAACCCTGATTATTTACATTAATTCACATTAATAACCGAAACCCAAATACAGAAATCCTAATTCTTTGAAAAAAAACCGTAACAGAAATACCAAAACCGAATTTATTTTTAGAAGAATACAGAAAAGAAGAAAGCGAAACCGATAAAATTTCGGTTGCCATCCCATCCAGCTCCTTAATTCTATTTGCTCACTGCCAATTCTGCTTTTTTTACTGGCAGTAAAAAAGGCAGAATTGGCAGTGATTGAATAGAATTGAGGAGCTGGATCGAAGAACCGGCTCTTCACTCGGACCGCACGCGCTTATACTAGTCGGGTAGAAGTGAGTGGCCCAGAGGGCACTCACTCAAATAAAATATAAAATTTAAAAATTGATAATTATTAGAGCTGTGCAAAATAATTCGAACCGAACTGTTCGAATTTTTTCGCCTAGTTCGAATGTCGAAAATTCGACATTCGAGTTAGCTTAGTTCGGATGTCGAATATTCGACATTCCAACTAGCCCAGTTCGAATGTCGAAAAACCGACATTTGAACTAGCCCAGTTCGGATGTCGAATATTCGACATTTCGGCGCCCCAAAACCGAACAAAACTCGGTTCGGTTCGAATTTTGCACAGCTCTAATAATTATTACTATGATTATTATTACTTCAAATACAATATACAAGGCTTTCGCGCCATAATTTTATACTTTTACTACAATGAAAGATGAAATCCTGTACTCTGGAACCTTTCGATTTCACGTTTATTGATCGACTCGACTGATCTATTACCATACGATTTAGGGACCTTTCGACGTTCGCGCTGAGAGTGCTGTGAGTATAAGTCACAGCGCAAACATAACACATATTTTAAATCATAACGGTAATAGACCAAGAGTTTGTCAAATTTCATTTATTTACATTTTAACAAAATTCCATATTTCCAGTTCGTTATCAGCAGAAACTCACCGCCAATTCTATTCGCTCACTGCCAATTCTGCTTTTTTTACTGGAAGGCATAAATAAATAAAAAAAAGTAAAATTAATAACGCCCATATTTCAAAAAAATGAATTTGTTTATAAAAAAATATTTTTTTTTTACAAAAAGTGGCCATTTTGTTAACTTCAAAAAATCAAAATTTTTTTATTTATTATGAATATCATGAAAAAATATCATGAAAATCATTATCATGAAAAATATCGTTCGTAACTATAGTGCTAGCAGTTGCCAATTTTTCCAAAAAAGTGGTCGTTCAAAAATTGGCAACTGCTCGCACTCGTTACGAAATATACTATTTCAGTGCTATTTGAGCCCGTAGACGGGCTAAGTAATTATGCAACATAAACTTTAAACGCGTTTTTCTCAAAACCACTTTTTTGCATGTGACCTTCGTCACATGTGTGGGTATCGCCGAAACTAAAATTATTGAAAAATATTAATTTTTACTATTTTTTTAAACCAAAAATCTATGCCAAAAATCCTTAATTTTCGAAAATCTTTGTTTAAATTGCCGACATTTTGTTATTCTTGCATAAAAATTTAAAAATTCTAGTTCGGGCGATAAGCACAGTCCTATACTGAACAGAAGTCAAATTGAATTTTGTGTTTCATATTTTTTTAACCGGAGAAATCTAATTACGCAGCTGGCATCGGTACTTTCAGCAGGTCTAAAAGAATTGTTAAATTTTTAATAAACAAATAATATTTTTTTAATAAAATAAGTTTTTTTATGAAGCTAAAGAGTGTATTTATTTAACTAAAAAAGATGCAGATCAATATAATCCATAGGAATTGTAAAAAAATTCTAGAAAATAGCTTCATTTCCAAACGTGTAAATTCTTTCAAATAATGTAAAAGTTGTTTTATTAAATTTTACAAAATTAAATTAAATTAACAAATAATACAAAAAAATTTTCAATTAATATATTATTTTAACAGGAAAATATGTTATTTTACTTATTTTATTACCTATTATTTTATATATCTTATAAACTCTAATTTTCCATCAAGGATAAACTTTTTTTTTCTAAAAACGTCAAGTGTCTCTTTTTCTCAAAAGTCTCAACTTTCTCCAATAGGTTCCTTCTTCTTCTTCTTCTTTCCTTTTTAGTGGCCTATTGCAGCCAATAGGTTCCCAAAACTCTAAGGCTGCGGTTACACCTCTGCAGGCAGCCTGCCTGCCTGCAGGTTGTCATGGTAACGTACAAGAGTAAGAGAGTCAGTGACTTCAAACTTCTCCCTTACTCTTGTTGCTCCTGCCTGCGCAGGCAGGCAGCCTGCAGAGGTGTAACCGCAGCCTAAAGGCCTTTCTCTAAAGGCCTTTCTCCAATAGGTTTTAAAAACTCTGCGTCTGCGTCGGTTGCTATAGCAACACATGCTAGAATCAACGCAACGCAGTCATTCGCAGACAAACGCAGAGTTTTTGGATCCTATTGGAGAAAGGCCTTTAGGCCGCAGTCCCATGGCAGCGTTTTGCGTTGCGTTGTAATGAGAGAGAATGCAGCAAACGTATATTTGCGTCTTTTTCTCTCCCATTACGACGCAACGCAAAACGCTGTCATGGGACTCCACCCTTATAGCAACCGACGCAGACGCAGTCATTCGCACACTTTTTAAAATCTATTGGAGAAAGGCCTTAAAGGCCTAAGCACAACAGATTCGCGAACGCAAAGCATGAGTTAGAAAAGGACAGAGATATATTTGTGTCCTTGTCTATCGCATGCGTCTCGTTCGCGAACGACTTTCGCAAACCTATTGTGCGTTGGACTTAAGTCGCGTCGGTTGCTATGGCAACATATGCTAAAATCAACGCAACGCAGTCATTCGCAGATCGCAGCCAAACGCAGAGTTTTGGGGGATCCTATTAGAGAAAGGCCTAAAGGCCAACGCAGAATAGAATCTTTAACCGGAACCGCAATCGTAAGCGTAACCGTAAGAATGAGTGAAAGAAGGATAGGTATATTGTTTATCCTTCTCTAACTCATTCTTACGCTTACAGTTACGATTGCGGTTTCGGTTACAGATCTATTCTGCGTTGGCCTTTAGGGTGGAGTCCCATGGCAGCGTTTTGCGTTGCGTTTTGTAACTAGGCAATGAGTGCAAATATAGCGAACCTATATCTTCATCTCTCTCACACTCATGGCCTAGTTACAAAACGCAACGCAAAACGGTGCCATGGGACTGCACCCTTAAAGGCCTTTCTCCAATAGGTTTTAAAAAGTGTGCGAATGACTGCGTTGCGTTGATTTTAGCATGTGTTGCTATAGCAACCGACGCAGACGCAGTCCTTCGCACACTTTTTAAAACCTATTGGAGAAAGGCCTTAATGAGCACGAGTGTATGTTACCATGGGCTGCAGAGGTCTGAACGCGGCTTAATTCTGAAACAAACTATACTTCTTTGATTCCCATCACTGACCACGTCAAGTATTTTAACGTCCATGTTCTTTTCATAGGAAGACTTTAAGTAGATAAACACGTGAGTGGAAGATTTTGTTTAAAATTTCTATTTAAATAAATATCAATCAGTAAAATTAGAAAAATAGTATATTCTTTTATTTTTAAATAAATTACTAAGTAATAATATATTCATGTTTTTACTGTTTGTGCGTATTTCAATGGATTTTTATTTGCAATAATGGTTTCGGTTTGGTTATGTTCTTACTGCAGTATTCTTTACACACTCAACATTTTTGCAACAAATTAATTGAACAATAATGTTTTTTATATTTTTAAATGTTTTAATCCTGTCGTTTCTCAAATTTGTTCGCCACTAGATTCTGAAAGATTCATTTATGTTTACGTTGGCAACATAACCATAAAGTGTGCACGCTTTATTAATTTTTCACATATTCATGGAACAATGTTTTTTATTGTATCCACACTAATCCAGATATTTGAAAATTAAAAATTGAACCTTTTTTCGAGTAAATTCATCACTTTCAAAGTCAATAATAGTAGATTAAATTTATTACCTGTCTGAAAGATGTTGCACTACTAAATTTAATCACGTTCTTTTATGGTGTCGAAAAAAATACAAACTATAAGCGTCAATCCATTATATTTTAGCAAAAATAGTTGTAGCCTATTTTTTAAATTTTATTATTTTTTTTTAATTTATAATAGTAAATCTTAATAACTCTACAATACATTTTTGGAAATAATTTTCAGAATTTATTGTATTTAATTTGAAATTTCAATTTTTAAGATGAGGTGCGCGAAAAAAGGCTATTTTGACAGCTGTAGAAATATAAGAATATCATAGTCTTGAACAATGAAAATATTTAAATATTATTTAAATTATTTCTGTTTCAATTATAATTATCGTTTCAATAGTACGTAAATATTTTACAATTTATAATCACGTTAATAACTCCTTTGGTGACAGACTCACCTGTGTAGTTAATTTTCATCTATTTTATAAATTTCTCTTTAAAACTTTTGAAAAATTTGTAATTAATTTATATTTTAATAAATTTTAATTCAATTATTTTCAAAAATTTTAATAAAATTCTTGGAAAACATTTAATTATTTTCATAAAATAATAAAAATTTCACAGGAATTCAGTTATTTACAAATTTTCTATAAATTTCTTCTCAATAATTCAATTATTTTCATAAATAATAAAACTTTTCGCAGAATTTCAATTATTTTTAATACAATTTTAAACAAATTTCTTGAAAAATGTTATTTTAAAAAATTTGGTTAAAATTAGTCAAGAGAATTCACTTATTTAAAAATTTATTTGATAAAATTCTTTACGAGCATTCAATTTTAAGAAACATTCAATAAATAAATTATTTATTTTCATAACGCGGTGCTAAAAAGGGCACTTTTTTGCACCTTGTTATGAAAAATATCGTTCGTAACTAGTGCTAGCAGTTGCACTTTTTTTTGGAACAAACTGTAGGCGAAGCGAACAGTTTATTCCAAAAAAAGTGCTCGTTCAAAAATTGGCAACTGCTCGCACTCGTTACGAAATATACTATTTTATATTTAAATGATTGAATTCTAGTAGAATTATCAATTAAAAATTGATTTAAAAATGAATTTCAGTCATAAACTTTAGATTATAATTGAATATTAAAAGCATTAGAGCGTGAATTTGAACTATTTTCAAAAATTCTCTACAATTAAATGATTTTCAATATATCTACTAATTTAATAAAAATTTTAAAAGAATTCAATTATTTAAAATAAATTTAATTATTTTCATAAATAACAAAAATTCCACAGGAATTCAATTATTTTCACAAATAATGAAACTCATCGCAGAATTTAAGTTATTTTTAATACAATTTTAATCAAATTTTTTGAAAAATTTTATTCAAATTCGTCGAAAGAATTTAATTATTTTAAAATTTGTTGATAAAATTCTTTATGAGAATTCAATTTTAATAAACATTCAATTATTCAATAAATTATTTATTTTTCTATTTAAATAATTGAATTCTAATAAAAATTGATTTAAAAATGAATTTCAGTTAAAAATTTAGATAATAATTGAATATTAAAAGCAGTATGGTAATTTTTCATTTTTGGTCACTGGTTCGAGCCCTGAAATTTGTTATTATTTAAAAAAAGGAATATTTTGAAAACAAAAAATGAAAATTTTTCTAAATTATTAATTAATTTCTATTTGATACTAATTATCATTCCTTCGTTTTGTAGCATGTTGATGCCCAAGAAGAACCGTATTGCTATTTATGAGTACCTCTTCAAAGAGGGTGTAATGGTGGCCATGAAGGATTATCATGCACCGAAACATCCTGAACTGGAAACCATTCCGAACCTTCACGTCATTAAGGCTATGCAGGTACATAATTTTTGTTGTCACTGTAACTTGAGTATTTGACTTAAATTGTAGTATTTTTTAACAATTAGAATTAAATTGTTAATTAACCTTCCAAGTACCTTATTTAATATTAAAAAGCGAATTGTGAGTAATTATAAATTTGTTTTCTAGTCTTTGAAGTCAAGAGGATACGTGAAGGAGCAATTCGCATGGAGACACTATTATTGGTATCTAACTAATGAAGGTATTGGATACTTGCGAGGATATTTACATCTTCCACCCGAAATCGTGCCTTCTACTTTGAAGAGACAAGCCAGATCGGAAACAGCGAGACCAAGGCCTACTGCCGGTCCAAGGACTGAAGGCTCAAGACCTGCGGAAGATCGCTCAGGATATAGAAGAGGACCCAGTGGTGCTGGGGAAAAGAAAACTGATGTAGGTGCAGGTATTGGAGATTTGGAATTCCGCGGTGGCTTTGGACGTGGTAAAGCTCCTCAATAAATGATTTAATTTTATTCAATTAATTTCGGCATATTTATTATTCCCTCACCGTATTTCACATTTTAATTTAGGTTTTTTATTTCATTCAAATTTTTCAAATCGTTATCTAAATTTGTTCTAAAATGACAAGACTTTCTGAATTTAAAAGAATTCAATTATTTTTTTTTAAAAAATTGATAAAATTCATCAAAGATTCAATTATTTTCATAAATAATAAAATTTCCACAGGAATACAACTAATTTAGAATAGCATTTTCAAATAAATTTCGAACAAATCAATTATTTAACAAAATTTGTATACAATTCTTCACAATAATTCAATTACTTTCACTAATAATAACAATTTTCATGGAAATTCAATTATTTAAATAATTTCTTGATAAAATTCTAAGCAAAAATTCAATTGTTTTCATAAATAATAAAATTCATCCAAGAATTTCAATTATTTTTAATACTATTTTAAATTAATTAATCAAAAAATTCAATTACTTTCACAAATACAGTTTTCCACAGGAATTCAATTATTTAAAATAAAATATTCATAATATTTATTATCCTTCAAAAAAATTAATTATAAAACAATGTTTATAAAATTCTTATGAAGAATACAATTATTTTCAAAAATAAGAAAACTTTTCACAGAAATTCAATTTTTTAAAACATTTTAATAAACTTTTTTGTAATAATTCAATTGTTAAAACAATAAAATTCTCTGCACCCGAAATTTCAACTATAACAGAATATAATTGAAAAAATTTTGTATATTTTTTTTCTGACACTATTTTGATTCAGAAATAAGGTAAAAAAATCAAAAAAAAATTTCATGATTTTTTCGGAAATTAAAAAAATTTTTATTTTTAATTTCTTTTTGTAACTTTTGACAAAATTAAAATTTCACAAAATCCATGCCCTTAAATATAAAATGGAGTGTAAGAAACTCATGAAAACAAAAACCATGAAAAAATAATAAAATTTGTGAAAGAAGAAGCATTTTTTATAAGTTTATGGTAACATTTCGATGTTATACCATAAATTTACAAAAAATTAAAATTAAAATTTTACAAAATCCATACCCTTAATTATAAAATGGAGTGTAAGAAATTCATGAAAACAAAAACCATGAAAAAATAATAAAATTTGTGAAAGAAGAAGCATTTTTTATAAGTTTATGGTAACATTTCGATGTTATACCATAAATTTACAAAAAATTAAAATTAAAATTTTACAAAATCCATACCCTTAATTATAAAATGGAGTGTAAGAAATTCATGAAAACAAAAACCATGAAAAAATAATAAAATTTGTGAAAGAAGAAAATTATGAATTTTGTTGTCCAACGTAACAGACTTAGAAAAAGAAAATATTAAATTTAATTTTAAATTCTTTCTATTTCTAACAATAATTAAAAAAAATATAATTTTAATTAAATTTGTCAAAAAAATTTCAAAGAGAAAAAATTCCACATCCTATAAAATAGTGAAAAATAAATCAATTTAAAAATTTTTTTGCAATAATATTATAACAAAGCAAATAAGAATTATTAAAAATTTGAACTAATTAGAACAAAAGTGATAAGAAATTTATAAAAATTAATTTTTGAATAATAAATAAAGTAAATAAAAATACACTACCGTTCGTGAGTATCAGGACGCCCCTTTTTTCATGAGTGGAAAAATGCTTGAAACGTAGAAAATAAGAATGACAAAAATTTTTCGTATTTTTTTCCTGAAAGCTGATGAAATTATGAAAAGACTAACACCTGATCGAAGAATTTTCGTTAACTATTCTGTCAGATACAGGAAAAATACTGGATTTTTCATGCTTTTCGTAATTTTTTAATTTCTCGAAAACTAATTAACTTTTATTAGCGCTCTTGGTCTTGTTTTAATCTCTATTTAATGTAGAATCTAAATTATTAACTGGTATTGTGAAATAAATTTTTCCAAAAAAAATTTGAAACCGTAAAAGTAGAATTAAAAAAATTCAAAAAATTATCATGAATATTAAATTGTCAAAAAGGTCAATGTAAAATATGTTCATTTACTAGATATAATAAAATTCAAAAAAGCTTTTTAATTACTTAATTATTTAATTAAAAAAATTTTGTTGTTGAAAAAGTGTCAATCTGTTTTTCAAAATTTTTTTATCCGACTTTCACAGTTTCAAATTTTTTTGGAAAAATTTATATCACAATAGGGTAACTGCACCAATTGCCGAGGGTGCTCCAATTGTCGAGGATAATAATTTTCTTTTTTAGATAAATAGTATAATATATAATATTTAAGAACAAAAAAAATTTCTAAATAATCTTTGTATTTTCAACTGTATATTTATATATACAAATTTCGTAGCGATTCTACTAAAAAAATTATTTAATTAATATTATAATTCACTGCTGTCAAATTTACACGAATCTCCATTTTCTTAATACTTCAGGTTGATTAAAACAGATTTTTAGAAATGCAAATTAAACGTATTTATAATGACTTTTTGTGTACAAAATTATTATTATAATTTTGTACACGAACTAAATTAATTTTGTATGCATGTTTTTTTGTTAAAAAAAAATATTTAATATTTTTTAAAAGCAAATCATCGGTATTTGGTTCCTTTTTTTTGACAGTTCCATTTTTCGAGGTAATGACTCGAAAATTGGTGTAGTCACTTTTTTCGCTGATGCACCATTTATCGATGGTTAAGTGTTTATTTACTAAACGTCAAACATAAATGCCAAACATTTATAGGTACAGAGAAAAAGAAAAAAAATGCTCCAAAAATTTACAACCAACAGAAAATAATCAACCAAAAAAACGAGGAAGACCGAAAAAAAATTAATAAAAAAATGCATTATTTAAAACTAAAAATTTTGTACTATAGTTTAATTATAATTAACCATTATATTTACAGTTCGTAATAAAAGTTTATTTTATTCGTTTACAAATTTAATGTGACTTAAATTAATTTATTTTTTCAATTAATGTCTGATTAACAAAATTGATTAAATTTAATTAACTTATGGGCAATTCTCTGGAACCTTTAACCTTTAGGTGTCTTATATTTATTATGCAATTACTCAAGATATATCAAATGTTTTATAAAAAGAATTATTGTTCCATGTAAAGAATGTTTAATAATATTTTTTTTTTTTTTTTTTTTTATTGTTTATACTCCTGCCCTATTGGCCTTACCCACTTCGACAAGAGTCCCCGAGAAATACTTTTTTGGATTAAGCATAACCATTCTACTTTAGAAATTTTCTATATATTAACCTAATTTGCGTCTACAGCCGACTTTATTAGGAGTACTCGCATTACGCCTGGACCACCCGTCAATGGGTTTTCTCGCCAGAGAAGAGGGAAACTGTAGAAAACCTCTCTGAGTACAACCGGTTTATCGACAGTCGAGTTCTAATGGTGTGTACCGGACAATAATCGACGGTGCACATCATTATACCTCGACGTCAAACCTCCCGCTCAGATTGTCTCACGTGCCGGAAAAATACCAAGCCAAGTGGGCGCGAACCAAGGGTACTTATACCCTTGGTCCTTAAACGACCACCAACGCCAGGCATCTATCCGACTGAGCCAATCTGTCGGTATGTTTAATAATATTAAAATATGTTAGTTTAAAAATTATTAAATTATGTTTAGTAATTAATATATATTTTTTAATGTGGAAAAGTAAGCAAATCACGAGAGTCCCTTTAGGTACTTTCAGAAACATAAACTAATTTTATAAGTTGGCACATCAACATAGAATAAAACGACGAATACATAAATGTAAATGAATATCTAAGGATTATTTAAAGTAATTAGAAGATTATACGCATTTGGAAAGTAAAGATATTTAATTTCGAAAAATTTCCCTTATTTTCGTGTCAGGACCGTAACTGCAAACGTACTTGCAGATATTTTAAGAGTGCCTTAATAAAATGAATTCAACAATACATAGAATGAAAGCTTAAAACTTACTAAAACTGTGGCCAGTTGAAATTTTTATGTGCAATAATTTATATTGAAATTATTGAAGAATATTGTTCTTGAATTCGACAAAGAACCTGGTTATGTCAGGACCGTAAATTATTCGGCACAATTAAACAAAACTATAAAAATTTATCAAACCTGTACGCACATTCGCACAATTATATTTTTTACTTGTGTGTAAAAGCACGCCTTAAAATTTTCAATAATTATCGAGATACAAGGAGGTACACGTGAAAATGTCAGGACCGAAATTGTCAGGACCGTAAAAAACTAATTTTTTGTCGCAATAAATTAGGATTTCAAGGTTGTCAGTGTGATAAATTGATAACTTCACTATTGACCGTTTTGTTTTTAAAGTTCAAAATAGAAATATGTAATTCGTAAAGTTAAAAATAATGAGGTCAATGAAAGAAATTTAGAATAAAAAGCAGAACAAATGAGGGAAAAAAGAACGAAAAAAAGGGAAAAAGAAGCAGAATACAATTTGAAAAACTTGCATCAGAGAAGGAAATTATTAAGGTTATCTAGAAAAAATATTACAATTAAGATAAATTTAATAAATAAATAAATAATAATTAAATTCACTAATTTTTATTAAAATATTTAAATTTGACCAATTTAATTTAAATTTAATATAACTCTAATAGAGAATATTAAAAAATAAATAATAAATATTATAAAAAAGTAAAGACAACCAAAATATTTAAATCCAAAACAATCGAAAACAATAGATTTTAACCTGTAAAAAATCGTCTTATTAAAAAAGAATAAAAATATATGAGACCTTCGAAATATTACATTTTTAACTGCAAAAATAAATTCTAAATGCTAATTTTAATTTATATACAAATTTTTATTAATGTGCTAGTAAATTTTTTTTTTTCAAGTCAAAAGTTAAAGGTTCCAGAGAATTGCCCTTATATTTATAAAAGTTTAAAAAGCAGTTAAATAATTTTCTGTCCTGTATCATCTACTATAAAAATGTTTTATATCGATATTATAAATTATTCAATTATAGTTAAATAAATATATTTGTTTTC